AGCATCTGAACCGCACTGCTGGAGGTGCAGGGTAATACGCAGCTCAAGGAAGTAACTCCCTGGATCATTTAATGATCATGTAAGAATTATATTTTAAAAACTGTGCTAATGCAATACTACCATTGACTTCAAATACTCGGAACACCAGGAGATGCAGATGTGGAGTTTTAGTCAGGACAGCTGTACACGAAATACTGCTGCTTTGGTAGCACCTTCTGACCAAAGTGATGGAGTCTTGCTGCCCCACGCGAGTTAGACACAACAGTCCTGCCCCGTGTTTTGCAGAGAGGGAACTAAGGCATGGAGGGGTTACACAACATCACAACTAATACGTATACACCTAAATTCAATCCAATTCATGAGACTATTTAAACACAGGATTAAATTTTTAAGCCTGTGCTTCAATCCCAATGGCCTAATTGGAAATTAAGTATATGCTGAATGCTATTCTGAAAAATTATGGTCTTCCGACTCTGTTTTCAATACTTACTTCTTCCAATATTTGGTTTACAGTATACTTAAAACAAAATTCAACATACGGGTAAAGCAATGGTAATGGTGTTTAGTAAAAAGAGCTGCAACTCTCTCATATAGCAGTTACTTTAAAAAAAATGCAAATTTTGACCTAGATGAAAACACTACCAAACTTGCAGTTTTAGAAATAAAGTTCAAAAAAAATATTCAGAAACATGAGAACAAGATAATTCTTAATACATTCAAACATGTTTTATTTTTCATTGATTGCACAATTATTAAAAATATAGCTTTGAATAAATCTACAAATATTTATTTTGAATATGAAATTATAAAACATGGCAATAATGAAATAACCGATAGGACAAACGTTGTATCAATTTTACTTGTACTCATCAGTATTGTAATATAGATTTTAAAATAATTTAAATTTACCTTTATCGAGTTCACTGGATATAATTTTAGTCATATTCACATTTTTTTAAAAACACTGAAATAATAGTAAAGATTTAAAACACAAAAATACTAAACCTAGAACCCCAAACTGATAGGTAGGCAGTGTCAAAGCTGTTTCTGTGCCTTTAATGGAACTGCACAATCTCGCCATTCGTTGGAACAATTATATGGGAAGCACATGGCTTTTTCTGAAGGTTCAAGTTCAAACATCAAAAAATTTATTTATTTTCTGAGCAGATCAACTAAACCTGTAATTGAAAAAAGTACTGCTCAGACCTTGGAGTTATTATTCACATGCAAAGTCAAATCCAGGTTCAATAAAATCTTATGACTTCACCAGGAGTTCAGGGAACCAGCCAGCTGGCACATCACTACGGACAACTGAGGGAGTTCCACAAATTCAGGAATACCCCAAAGATCAAAAAATCACTACCTCCTTAATTCTGCTTGTTTTGGTGCACATTGAAAGAATACTAATGAAACAAACTTGCATTTTACTTAACAAAGACGATATGACCAATCAGCAAATTTTACAGATATCAGACATTTGTTTAAAAAACTTTATGGCTATTCCACTGTTAGAAGACATTATACAACATGGACACATGATCCTATCACCAAGCTGTGCATTCATACCACAGGACTTTTTAACATGAGCATACTAACCATGGACAAGCCTCGGATGGAATTTTCTGGGCCTCCTTCACAAAGGAATGAGAATGCACTTTTAAATAATTGCTTCCTTTCCTAATTCCTTACTTCAGATGCACAGAACCTGAGTCTTCATTAAAGTTCAGACTAAATTCTATTTTAAAAGTGTCCCAATTTTGGTCAGACAGCTGAAACTGCAAAGACATTGCTCATGATCCACTGATCCACAGAATTCAGAGCATGACAGGAATCTAACATGGAAAAGTACTGATGTAAAGGGTATAAAAAATGATGACTAAAAAAATGTTAGAGTTGGTTTGTCACAGAATATAGGCTCTATTGGCTTATATTTCTTCATTGAAATACTTTTCACTTCCCTCAAAAATTTGACATCCACAGCAATGGACAAACACAGAAATTTTATGAGCAAGTAAGAAAGACAGACAGCAAAAGACAAATGATCAAAAAGAGTGAAAGAGGGAATTGAGCAAAGTGCATATTTACTGAGAACTTACTGTTGACAACACTGTATTTCTGAGCTATTAGTGCTGCCTGCAGGCTCTTCCCACTGCCTGGGGGTCCACAAAAGAGAATCCGTGGTGTAAAGGGGGCAGCTGATCGGTGCCGGGTTTGGACAAAGGTAAGAACTAGAACATGGGAGAAAGGCAAGACATACAGTTTATATTCTATTTCAAAAAAAAAACCCCACAAAAAAAAACCCCACACACCACAATATAAACATTGATTAATTTTGATGCTTTATTTTATCACTGAAACATCTAGACACTCCAACCAAAATCAGGACTCTGATAAAACTGTCACGTCAGCAACTTGCACTGAGAGGCACTTTAGAAATCTTACTATCGTTATGCTCCAATACTTTCTTTCATCAGTAGATGTCAAACCATTTTAAAGAGCAGATTCAATTAATAATTGCTCTTTTACTATGTTGTTTTTAGCAGAAGTAATTTTTGCTTGATAGGTACAATTTTACCCTGCAAATTATAGAGGGATATAATTACATTCAATACTCTCTGCAGTTTCTGAACAAATATTTAAGTGTAAAAACTCAAGATGTTAAATTAGTATGACATTTATCCAGCTGTGTGTGTGTGATTAACAGACTCTTAATTACAATATTATAGACTTGTAGCATAGGATGTCACAACACATAACTGAGTATGACTTTATTTTTTTGTCCATCATTTTTGCATAACATGTAAAGGCTATTTGAGCTTCTCTGTCCAATTCAGTCTGTTTTTTGGACATCAGTCTTCTACGTTTTGTATTGCATAAGAAATATTCCATTCAGGTCAATCTACAGATTATAAGAGCTTTGAAAAGACCACAGAACACGCGAAGCATCATCAACGTTGCTGCATTACAGAGATCTAAACTTTGTTAGAATCTCAAAAGAGAACCTGATAGATCACCAAGAAGCTAAAAGAAGACACAGCTTGGCAGTTGAGGACAAACTAGCATCCTAATCAGACAAAGTCAAACACTCTAACTCCCCACGCCCCTTTCACGGCTAACACTAGTGAGGGGAGCAGCCCAAGCATCAGCACAAGCTGTGCCAGCTTTCCAGGGATCATAGATTCAAACGCCAAGGCCAAATTTCAAGCCACTGCATCCTGATTGCCGTTGTTACCCACGATTAAAGTGGCATGGGCACACCTACACACACGTTGATTTCCTCTGTAATTGCAAGGGATACAATTAAGTGTTAGCCCAGACATCTTCTGTTCAAATAAAAGAGTCCTTGTAATAAAATGGTATTTCAGTCTAACAAACATAACAGGCTTATACATTAATGTTTCTATTAATCATAAGCCCACACTAAAAAAAAACACAAAAGGCTTGATGGAGAACATCATAAAGACCAGTATTTTAACTAGCACTGTTAACACACTGCTGTATCAAATGAATAATTTTCCTGAGGACTCTCTGCTAGACACCTTGGTATCATAATAACATCTTTCTGTGATAAAGAAGCATCTCCAGTAAACTCCAGCCCTGCTATTTCTAGCTAATGAACCTGAAGTATTGAGAAACCAACTCAAAGTGCAACCACGCAGGATCGTATACGTCTTTCTCCCGCACCACAGGCTGTACTGGGATGCTACACCATACGACGAATTCGATGTCATATATCCTAGCATACATTAGCAGTAATTCCATCCCAATTTAAGAGTGTACACAATTTTATAATTGTATGAAACAATCCATAATAATACTGATGAGAGATCTTCGTTTTTAACTCTATCTGTAGCAATACTTAACAACAGACCTGGAAAGCTATAACAGAAAATAGTATGTTTGCTGCATAACTTCCTAAACACCAAGCATCAGCTACCCGAGGAGTGCTCTAGTTATTCTGCACATTTTCCATAACCCAGTGTATTGAAAAGCACAAACATTACAGGCAAAGCACCCTGCTTACAAATGATGCTTAATTTGCAGTAAATAACCAAGTTAATTAGGAGTAATGATCCCCTAGACAGTCTCCACATCTAATTATTCTTTAAAAAAAAAATATCTGGCTGCTTGATGCACTGCAGAAAAAAGATCTAGAGAGGATTTTTTCATTCCGGTTTTCAATTTATCTCACTACATTATTAATTAATAATAATTAATATTCAGGCACTCACATTTTTATTTACAATTCAAGGCATGAATTCTTTATGAATGATGATATGAACTTTTAAATTTAATTAAGTAATTTAGAGGTAATTAATGTGTAAATTCGGAATATAAACTTCCTACTTGTTTATCTTAAAAGTGCAGCACTCGTTAATAAAAAAAAGACCTTTTTGAGATGCAAAATTACAGGGATATAACAGATCATCTACAGGCTGACAGCTACAAAGTACATTATCAATTGTTCTTCCTGGCAGTTTCCTTATTCTCTTCTTGAAGGATCAACATTAAAACTCAGATTGCATTACAGTCAAGCAAAGGCAAACAAGAATTGTTGAACAGAAAATCTACCAGCACAAACAGCTTTTAAATAATGAAATGTTACTGGCTTTGAACTACTCCTGCTTCTTGTTATCAGACTTGTGGAAGGTACTAGCCCTTTGGGAGATTAACAACTGAGCCACAACGCAGCCTTTTAGCAGAGACTCTTGCAGAAATAACTGTGACATTTGCTCTACTGAGTCAGCTGCTCCTTGGCAGGACTGTGGAACTAAGACTTTCCAGTTATCTGCACTTTAGTCCCTTAAAATAATTACTAGGAGCAGCCTAAGTGCTCTACTAGAGAGAAAACAACTCAGCTGGGAGCCATCTGTGTTGACTAATTCTACAAACTGTATCTAATGGCTAGGAACTACCTTTCAAATAAGAGTTTATCAACTACCAGATTTGCCATAAAGGTACACGTTTACCCTGTGATAGGACATCCACGCAAGGCTGGTCTGCATTGATCGATTTCAAAATTTTTTGGTAGATCTGGAAAACCTCAGGGAAGTTTCTGTGATATTCCAGCAGTTTCGTTGACATCTCCTGTTCAGAGAGATCTTCTGGTTCCACCAAACGCTGCTGTACCAGCGGATCGCTTGGCCAGTCGAAGGTCGTATGGTACACCTCTAGAAGTCAGACACTGATTAGGAACTAAGAGGATGATTTAATAGGCCTTGCTCAGCTCCAGAAGGCTTCCTAAACAAAATCACAACCTATCTTTAGGCTTAGATTGGTGGCACAAGCGATGATCTGTGCAATTCCCTTGTTACTTGTACTGACAGCTGACTACTACTCTGCAGATGCACAGAGAGGAAGCGGCCAAGGTAACTGCCCACCCATGTAGCCAAGACAGCAGGACGAGTAAAAACCAGGAACGAGGGACAGCTCTCCAAATTCTCAGTCTTAACCTTAAACAAGGACTTCTATAGGCAAACCTCCTTCATAGCAAACAAAACCCATTTCTTTAGTTAAGAATGTCCCTCCTAATTCCACTCCTAAAACAAGGAATGTGATTTTTTAATTGACCAATGTCAGGATTTTATTTTGTGACGAGTGATTGATAATGACACTCAACAGACAATACAGAGCTAAGCCTATTTGACAGTCATTTAATGGAAGATCCCTAAAAACATACCTGCTCCTCAGAAAAAAAACAGGATCTAGCAAAGATGCATAGCAAAATGCAATTTTACCTTCACATATGCTGTACTGCCATAGCCTACTGTTCACAGGCTCAATATCAAGCGTTACATTTTATTGGCACAGAAAATAATGTAACGTCAAGAAATACTTTTTCCAAACAGTTTAAATTTATAATTAGAAATTCCTACTAGTTCTTACATGGATATCATTTAAATTTTAATCCCACTGGTATTACAATGTTTCTGAGACCAAGCAACACTCCAGTTTCTAGTGGAGACCAGGAAGAAACATACTGCACCTTCTGTGACGGGATCAAGCCTTTTCCCACTGTTCCTCTCAATCAGCACAGTGTCTGGAGCACAAAGCACAACTAGGTACCAAAAAAAAAAAAAAAAGAAGAAAAAAGAAAAAAGTGTAGCTTTTGTTAGTTACTTGTTTTATTTCCCATAACTGTTTAGATGTGTCCTAGTATTAAAGATGGATGAACGTATTTCAAGCACGTTTGCCTCATTCTCCATTCCCAGTATTCTACCTGCAAATACTTTACTTCACTTTTAATGAGAATTTTTCTCCACCTCCTATACAGTACAGCGGGATAAAATATAAATTAATCCAGTCCAGTACCCATGAGTACTGCCTGTCCCCATCATCCATACCAATTAACAAGGTTCTCCCTCATTTACATTGTATCTGGAGCCTAGGATAGAAGTACCCCCAGATCACTCAAGACTATCTTCTATGCCACAATTACTTTCCACTCAGGTACTTCAGTAGTTGAGACCAGGGAAACTTATTTTTTTTGATAACTTCACAGAAAAGTGTTCAAACTTGATTAGAAAGCATGAAAAGATGGAGAATCTGTCAGTTCCCTTGGTTGCTTTCGGCTAATCATCTTCAGTTAAACACTGTAATTTAATTACTATTTTCAGTGCATTGATTACAGGTTTCAAACAAGCTGTTCTTACGACTTTCTTCTCTGAATCAAATACCTCTTTCAGTTGATTTTCTCCCTATTGAGGTACTCACACACTGTAAATCTCATCTCCTCTCAATCTTCTTTTTGATTAACTAGACAGACTGAGCTTTAAGATTCTCATTCAGGTCTTGGTTACACAGATATAATTGTGAGCAAAACTCAACTTCAGATGTTATTAGCTATATTAAAAATACATGCAAGTACTAGACATTAAACATTTTTGCCTAACTCTATAGCAGTGATTCTGAATTCTTCATTAACAGTTGAATTTCATCCAAATCAAATCCAAAGTGACAATTCATCAAGTTCACTAACATTCCAGCAAGTTCACTATCCACTGCCAAGCTCTACATTTATCCTTTTACGCTGTATTCCACGCAATCATAACAGTTTCTTACATTCTGCGTAGGTTCTCTACCCATATTAATGTGGGACAACTGGCTGCTTCTAGATGGCAAAGGCAGTTGTCAAGGTCTTGTCTATCAGCACTTTGCTGTAAGTATAAAGATAAATGTTCCCCTCAAATCAAGCCAGAATCCACCCATACTCTGGAAGGTCAAGCTTAAAATCATGATGTTTCTGCTTCACTTAGTGGAGTAAAGCTTGTTAAGTTTCCATTCTCTAAATCAACAGAAGGACAAATTTGTTTTTAGTACATGAGGAATTGTTTTGGTTGGAGGATTTCTAGAGATTGAAATCACAGAAAATTTGGACTCACTCCTAGGACAGAAGCAGAAGCTGCTTGGAGACACTTGCTGGAGTGGTCTTTTTTTCTTTTTTTTTTAACAGAAAATATTACAGAACTCTAACTTGTAAGGGCTCACGTGTGAACGATAGGATTTCAAATCTCACAGGATACCTCAAGTTTTTGAATGAAGCTGAACCATACTGAAATATTCTGCTGTCTGGTGATTCTGATGTCTTCAGTATCAGTATTGAATTCATCAAGGATTTTTGGGGAGAAACAATTCTAGTCTTTCCTACTGGATGCAATCACACACAAAACTTGTACTGCTTACCAACATGCCTAGGAATGATGCCAGATGACTGCAGCATCCATGCCTGTTCCTGATTTTCAGGGAAACCTTCCAAAATCCATCCCTATCGAACAAAAGCATGAAACAGTTATTGATCCTGGAAGAGAAAATGCAAAAATTAGCACTACATATCAGTGCTATTTGCACAAAAATCACCTCATTCTGATGTCACAACAGCACAGTATTTGTTATGGATGCTTGTGAGAGAAGAAAGCAAACATGGAGCACTGATATTTTTGTGAAATGGCATGCACTAAAACCACTGCCACAGAGCAATGGGAACTTAGGTATTGTAGCAATGATTATTTTCATGTTTCAATCTTAAAAAAAAAAAATATAAACTTCTATCTTGAATAAAAACAACCCAAACCAATTTCTACAGTTTTGAAATATTCAAAAGGATACCAGCCCACACTGTGTATAAAAAAAGAGGCTAAACAAATCTAAAGACAGACTTAATGCCAAGAACACCGAGGAAAATATGCATGCTTTCATTATTTTCTTAAATTATACAGGAAAACTCACAGTAATGGAACCAGCATTCCCAAAGCTAATGAAGCAACAGAGCAAAAGAAAGAAGAAAGAAAAAAGAGCCTTTTGCTCCCTTAAGTCCTTGTTATAGCCAGCTAAGTGTTGGATTGAGCATCTTTAAAAAAACATTTACAGATCTGTGAAATACCGTAGGAGAGCTGCAGCCTCACTCAGTTTCTGGGTGATGCAGTATTTGAAATCTAATCCACTTCCCAGTCTCAAGCCTGAATCTTCTAAACTTTGTCTAATTTATCTGTTAGTTGCTTAAACACACACATCCTTGGTCACTATATCCTATGCTTCAGAATAACTCTGTGACACTGCAATAAATCTGGAAACCACCTTTGTACTGAAATAAAGGTGATATTTTAATATTGCACTAGCTAGCAATCATTATCATCTCCCACATAAATTTCAAGCTCTGTCACTATGGGGTCCAAAGGTTTTAGAAATATTTCAGGCAAACATATCTCCACGACTTCTGTAGGAGGAAATTGAGACATTCCAATTATACAAGAAAATAGACTATTTAAAATTCCTTAATCAGTCTGGTTTCAGGAACATGTCATCCTGCTGATACCTGTAGAAAAGAAGAGACTCAAGTAACTGCAAGCCATTTTTGCCACTCTCAGTGTTTGCTTTATCGAATTAGAATGAACTCCTGGCTAAGGTCACACAGGTGCCAAGAAATCAATTTATCCCTCGGGACTCGCAGGAGCCAAGGCTGCACAATATTTTTAGCAGTATGCTAGGAACTTCAGCACTAGTTCTGAATATATTGTGCCTGTACTATACATACACACACATATAGGCTCAGATCCTCTTCTAGGGAGAAATGGCATCAGAGGTCTGAAGCCAATAAATCTATGCCAATTTACACAGACTACAAACCTGGCTCATTTTCTTCACTGCAAGTGCAACACTTTTGGAAACTAAAACAAAACAAACAACAAAAACCCCACAGAACCATTGCTCCTGATGTCACTATAGCTTATTGTTCAAAATCACATACTGAGCAATAAGTAGCAAACACAATATTGTATTTTAACAACATACAGCAAACTTCAAGAGGTTTATGTACAAATTTCAAAGGTCCTTAAAACAGGCAATAAGCAATTTTATAGCTAAAAGTTTTTGCAATGTAAGATCACATAGCTCAATAAATAGCTTCCTGCAACAAATACGTTTCAAGGCATTAAACAAATGCAAAATAAACACACACTACAAAAATAGTTAGCATTTTGGATCTTATTTCCAAAGGTCTCCGAGTTCCAGGGTATCAGTCAGTCCCTAATTAGAATACATTATCCATCTACTTGACACTTCAGTGAAATGTCTATTCCACCACAGAGCTGCAGCTTTGTTCAGAACAGGTTTATTGATATTCTGCTGCATTCCCTCTCCATACCCCCAGTGGCTTGGTTCTGTTTTATCACACATCAAAAAGGCCGTATGCTCAGGGCACCCCATGCACAGCTCAGAGCTGGAGGTCTGAACAGCTGCAAGTAGTATGGTATCACAGGAGGGACAAGCTCCAAGCAGATGTCACAGATGAAAAAAAAAAAAAGAGTTAAAAAAAAAAAAAAAAGAATGAGTAAAAAGAGTGTGGCTTGGGAACGAAGCAAGAGGAAGCAAGACACAGCAGAGCAAGACCTGACTTAAAACATGCCTATCATGCTTTATGCAAACACTGGTCTTTTTTGCCCTCCTGACTATCATTAAAGTGTAATTAGTAACTTCACATGGTAAATTTGTTTCTTTAAGAAGCCATCTATTTTTTGTTCTTGATGGCAGTAACCTTACATCCAGGCTTGGATTGTACCTTATCACATCAAGGGTGGAACAAAGGCTAAAAATGAGCAATTCCACGGTGCTTTTACTCTGTGGTCACTGTTCCCTCTCCTTCAGCTGGAAACCTCAATCCTTTCCCACATGATGACTGCTGTAAATACAGCATTCTCTGGTTCCCTGAATGCTGGGTGAAGTGCTCCTTGCACCATGACGTGCTGAAAATCAGCAACAAGGAGGTACTTTCAAAGCCATCACTTTCCTCTCCAGATTTACAGAACCTGGAGAAAAGGAAATGCTCAAGGTCATTCCCAAATGTAAATCTCATTCCTTTGCTGACTACTCTCAGCTATAATACCAAGCCTACATACTTTCACACTTTCCACCCCAGTAACGATGACTTGGGTATTCAGTTCTCCCTTGTTATTTGACCTGCACAGCCTCAACTTTTTGGTTTTTTTAAATTACAGAATCCAAAATTGACATTGCTTTAGAATAATGAAAAGGGATAGCATAAAAAAATAATGCTGAATTATGTAGAACGTCTGAAAAATCTCGGCCACAAGCATAAAGATCAAAGGTCATGATTACTGCTGCCTGTAGGAAAACAGGTCATCACAACAGTCTTTCCAAATCAGCATTCAGTACTTTTTCAAAAGAATTACATGCCTTTAACTTCCATCTGAAGAAAGAGGACAGACAATAATCCAAAAAAATAGCATCAGCATGGATCTAAAATTCTGAGATTTTCAGAAAACAGCGGGATGAGGAGAGCAGTAGAAATATTGCCAACCCAACTCTTGCAGTCCACCAACGCTACCAGTATGGATGAAGGAAGAAGCTCCAACTTTACCAAATTTCCCATTAGAAAGAAACCTTTTATTCCCCACATTATTTTTGTAGGTTGAGAAAGCTGAAGAGCTACTAAAAAAAACCCTCATTCTTCTTGGAAATCAAAAAAGATGGTAAATAGACAGATCCTCACTATCCTTGCATGGAGTTTCACAGAGACAACATGAAGATCCCTATCTGCCAAGGTCAGACCAAAAAGAACCAGTAGCTCTGTCTGCCTTCCCTTTCTAGAACAGCCAGCTATCCTTCCGAACAGTTTAATACCAACCAGAAGTGATTCTGCCACTACTCATGTGAGCCACTGGCCTGAGCTTAGTTTCCACATGGTCCTAAGACATGAGTAAGGTTGCTCAGCTCACGCTCTCACAAATTCATCATGTAGCAATCTCTTCAACAGCCTTCCCAGGTTCCATAAATTCCCTCGGCAACACCAGCAGTCAGAGGTGCCGTAGCCAACATGTACTAACCCTGTAAGATGAAAAGTCTTCATATCAGCTTCACAAGTCCCAGGTTCTAACATAATGCTTGCCATAAGTTTTCTGCGTACACTGGAACACCTACCTGTCTGATCCCTTGCAGCCCCAACTACATTTGTATTAGAAGAACACACAACACAGAGTCTCAGCAGAGCTGTTGATCAATAAAAACATTCTCCTTAGAGAATGCCTGTGACATCAATAAAACTGTGAGTGTCAAAACAATAGCACAAAAAATTCTGTATGCCTACTGTCAGTGGGATGAAAGCTGTGCAATTAATGCCAAGCCAATGACACCGCAAGGAGAAATAAAACAAACAGCTGGTGGTACTATGGTCCAACATACTGCTCCTAATCTATTAACAGGAAAAAAATGCTGACTCATGCTTTGAGAGAAACGGCATAAATCTGTTGAATGAAGTACAAAATCCACAGCATTGATTCTATTTCCAATCACACAAGGAAAATATTGCAATTAAGATGTATAGATCCCCTTTCAAATGGAAAAGGCATACACAATGTGAGGAAGTTTTAGTGACCACGAATTACTATCCATTAATTAAAAGATTCTTAATAACCATCACAACTTTGAAAAGTCAGATATGTGTTTTTCCTAAAAATGACTGAAACCTTAACTAGACCAATAACATCCACTCCATTCCAGCTGAATGTCAGGGAAGCTTTACAAAGGGTCTTTTCCCCCTGGTTCTGTAACACATCCAGCACTGATTCAGTGTTGCTGGTGATAACAGAAGGAACATAAAATGTAGGCAAAAAAACTATGCAGCTGTTGGCATTTCAACCATCTCGTCACCTTACTCAGAGTTTACATGACCTAATACTTAACACAACAGTCACTGAGAGACCCTTCCCTTATGCTATCAAAAGAACTAGAACCATGCCAACAATTATAGAAAGCATGGGGCAAAAAAAGCACAGGGTGGATGCAGCCTTTGGAGAGCAATGGGTTTTGCTTACACATTGATGGTTAGTAACACTCACTTTAACAATATCACAACAAACACGGGAAAAATTACCTGCTGAAAACATACCTTCTTTTCATCAAAGAGACTTACATAAAAAAATAAGCACATTGGAGAGGTTTTAGAGCTACTGTTAGAACAGCCCTGAACTGAAGAGTTATTCACCTGCTTGCCATTTTACAGCAATTACTGCCATCCAACAGCTCTCCTCCAAATAGCATTAGAGGACAGATTGCCCCAGCAACTACTACCTTTGAGAGATCATGTGAGAAAACATTTAACCCAAACTATTGCAAACACCAGGGGAACCCTGGCGTCTTCCCTATCCTACCTGCTAACCACTAGCAGCACAGCCAGAGCAGCTGTTAGTGTTAAGCTGAGGGGAGCTGTGTTTGGGGACTGAAACCAGCCCAAAGCCTAGCAGCTAGCAGTCAGAAAAGTAGTTTTTTGGGTTCATCATCTTTCTAACTTACTTTCATTTCTACAGGTTTAAAGATATTTTAAACATAGTCACTGGAGGAGAAGTTTCACTTCAGATAGATGTTCCACATCTTGCCACGAAGACCAGGTAGTAAATCATACCATCACCTGACTTGCTGTATATCCATGGTATCTCATTGCACTACGTACATAAAAAATTTTGACATTCACAGTCTTTTTTTGCTGCTCATTTGCTAGTATATCCAGAGCTGACAATACTGGTTTCTCAAGGGTTCCTCAGCTACACTCTTTAATTCAAAATGCCACAAAACCGAACAAGATGGTACACCACATGCATGTCTTTGAACAGGTTCTCCTGCAAATTGAAAGGCCTAACTCCTCTGTGAATTGAGTACAGATAAACAAATACATTAAATACTACCAGATATTGGATCTGGAGTGCTAAATGATAAATAAATAAAATAGCTCAGCTAAAAAGACCCTGAAGAGAAACCGGACAGACCCATGTAATTCAAGCGCAGTGATCGGCAATGCAGAAGTTTAATTCTACTTTGCAAATTGAAAATCAATAGATCAATTATAGAGTAACGTGTACAGTATTTTGTAGAGAAAAATTGATAACTTTTAGGTTTTCTGCCAATCTCTTTTCTCCTTTCTTTCTAAGGATCCAAAAATCATTGTTCCAATCTCCCAGATGATGAAACATGGAGCAAGAAACACAGGATCCTAAACCAGACAAAAAATGGTCCATTTGGAAAAGAAAGGGAGGGAGTCATGTCCTTATACATAATGAACCAAAAATTCTTCCACCGTCTTCCCAGGCCTCGATCGTATCAGTGGAGAAAGGGAACTCCACGAGAAACAATGGCAAGATTTTGGAAGAAAATCATAGCTTGAACTAACAGCGGTGCGCATATTGCCCAAAACCTGTGTCTTATACGCACAGCAAAGCAGAGTTTATTAGTTCACAGTATGTGGAAAGAAGGCAGGAGTGGGCACTGGAAAAATCCACACTTAGCAGTTTAGAGCTGCCAGTACATTTTAAAATTCTAACATCTTGGTAACTCCCCACGTAAGCAAATTATATGGTTTATTAAAAGTGCAGGGTTCAACTCATCACTACGTTACTCCAAAGTTGCAGGAATTCAACCCCCATGAATGTCAATGGGATTTATATCTGGTAGAAATCTAGAATAATTCAGAGATGAGCTAGGTTTCTGTTTCACGAGTTTCCCTTCATAAAAACAATTGCTTACATTTCTCTGAGGGAGGAGTCGTCCTATTACCGTCATTTGTAAATATGTCTGGGAGCCCAATAACGCAGCCTAAATTTTTGTTACAGTAAGTCTCTTGTTTAACCTGGATTTAGCTAAAAATGCAACGAAATGTTCAAAAATCACCCACATTAACTTATTTTTCCTCCTTCAGAGCTGCTTCTACTGATGGAAAAGGAAGGACTTTTATGGCAAGATACTTCCCAATGCAAATAAGGGCACTGTCATGCAAATTAGGGCACTGCCATGCGCTCTTCTATGACCTGGCAGAAGAACAAGATTAGCTGGGCAAGGAAAAGTTTGCTTAAGCTTACTGACTTTTCTCTGTACCATTAAACACCAGCAGGCAGTACTCTAAAGTAAATGATCGTGCAATCGGAGGATTAGATAACGGGATAGGTCCAAGTTTAGGTGTTGCTGGTTCTAAGCTACTTAACGACAGCACCACCAATTTTGCTACAGCTATATGCTCGCCACAGAAATATGACACAGACAGATGTCCTCTAGCAAACCTGTCAGGCAGGAACAGTTTAAGAATTACACCTCCAGCTATCCATTACCATCCTGATCAAGCTATCCTTCCCACAGTTCAAACGCTGTAACTGACCATCTGATCTCGCTTACACGGGGCAGGCCCACTGAAAGCCACTTCCATCAACGTCTTAAGCGAAGACAGTTGACTTTGCACTGAGGCACATGAAGACTTCTTTGGCAATTGTCCACATTATCTGAGTTATAAAAGCCAAAACCTTCAATCAGGGCAGAAAGCAGTTTCTTAAATTCTTCTTGCTAGTTTTGTGTGTTTCTTCACACCTATGACACTTCTGCACTACACAATTACCACCTTAAAAACTGCAAAGCGATGACCCAGCCCCCAAGATTATTTTGGTTTACATGGATGGAACGATCCAGTCTGCAGATCACTGGAGACTACATCAAAAGTCACGGAGACAGAGAAAGAAGTACAGGATATAAGGTTTTCAGCATTCCCAGTTTCTTTCAGTGCCCAATGCTAAGAAGCTTCAGGAGTTAATCTTCACACTTCAATTAAATGTTACCAGCCCTGGTAATTTTCTTCAACCAACAAGATAGATGATGATGTTGAGAAGCAACAGATTTACATAAAACTATAAGCCTTGCAATATCTCTATGAGGTTAGGAAGTACTAGTTATCCCCTGACCCAAAAGTCTGAGTGTGACAGAGTGACTGTTCTGAAAATATGCACTATTTATCTGAAAAAAGTTGTTTAGGCCTTCATGAATGCAACATCTGCTTTGGACTATGGACTCTTTCCTCTCAAGAAGCGCATCAAATAATGTGCAGTCCGTATTCTGGCACTGTTTAGAGAGTTTTATCCATTAGATTAGTATGTGTCTTACAAATAATCCCTTATAATGGGACGATTATGGATTAAATAAACCATAACAACATCTGAGGAAACATATAAAGGAGATTTTGCTTTTCTTGAGTCCAGACATTAATTTTAACCACCTAAATTCTCTTTTGGTTCTGTGTTAAAAGTCTCTCCTCACACTACGGCTAAAGGTACCGGGCAGGGGGAAGCCACACATCTGTGAATCCAGCTATACCTATTCAGCTGCCTATTTGTGTAAACTGACAGTGAACATATTCATTATTACCTAGAAGAGTAACTACATTCAAATGCAGTTTTTCCTAATACAGGAAAAAAAAAAAGACACAATGAGAAATAAAGAAAATTGATTTGAGTAATGTTAGACTCTTTTTTTCCCCCTTCCCTCAGTAAGAGTTAAAATCTTAACTCAAGATATTGATTTTTATATATTTTCTGTTTATCTGTTTTGTCCACTATAACTCTGCCAGTTGCCCCAGGCAATCAACAAAGCTATGCTTGTTCAGCCTTTGATCATCTCTGTGCTAGAAGATTAGCATATGCATACTCTCATCCTCCCCTTTATCCTGTTAATAAAGCTCCAAACTCCCTCTGCTGATGTTCAAGAAAGCAATCCGCTCCAGAGCCCCCAAAGATTTGCCCCCATTCCCTCCTCTGCTCAGGACTCGGAATGCTAACTACTGTGCACGAGTTGTGTAAGTGCTTATCCACCGGCCCTCTGAGGAGCAATTCTTACTTGTTTGATGCAGTCCACGTTTGACAGACGTTCCTGGATCAGATTGGCCCAAAGCGCGTTGGGAATTTTCTAAAGAAAGAACAAAAAAAGGCTGAATATTCACAATTGAGTTCAAAAGGAATTTTACCATGCAGGCATATTCCGGTTAAAGGTGAACTGAGATGTCTTCTTAAAAATAAATAAATCTGTGCAAGTCCCAAGTCATTAACATAATATATCAGAGAGTTAATAAGGGCACAAAAAATAAAGTGAAAGGCAAGCTGAACACAAAGCCCACACCCACGCTTTTTGCACACTGACATGGAAGCGGTGCCAAGTCTTGCACACGAACACACACATTGGACATCAAACCTGCAAAGGGGTCCGTAAGAACATCCCATCCACAAGCAGTCCTTTTACCCCAAGGATCTGACCCAGCGGACCCAGTATTAGGGACCTTACCAACTATCCTGCGAGACACGCCGAATCTCAAACACAGAGTAAATAACAAAGAATATAATTTTCAGGAGGTTTGTTTCATGGTTTCAAGCAACTCTCACTCTTTCATCATCCAGAAAGTTTATTTAAAATACCTGTTATGGTTAAAGTTAATTTTAATATTAGTTTATTTTTAAACTCAGGACTGGGAAATGGGACTGAAACTGCATGTGCCAATATTTTCAGAATTGCTGTTCCTTTCTGTGACTAGTACTTCACCCATATCTAGAGATGTTTTGTAAGACAGTATTTGCCATCTGACAGAAGAACAAAGTTCCTCTGCAGATTTAGCATTCTCCCTCCTAATATTTTTTCCATTATTATATTAGATTTCCTCACACGAAATTAAGAACACTCTTCTTTCCTTCTTGTAAGAATGTTCTTCATTATCTTGTTAATTTAGGCCTTCATTCTATGCTGAACTTGGTTAAACAAACTCTACGTTAGCCAGTTTAACTTGATCAAGTCTGAACTTTTGGCCACGCCAGTAAGAGCAGCTGTTAATCATTTCACTAAACTCCTTGTCTCAGACTCCTAAAAGATTTCCTAACAATCTTCATTGGATCATGAAACAATTTCACCAGGAGTGGTGGAAACGCTACCACACAAGTCATTTTAAAGGAGAGTGGAGCAAGCACTCCAGAACACACAAAAGAGACCAGTCCTCAGCTGGCTGTGGAACAGAGAAGGTGGCCCAGTCAGGCAGTGGGTTATCTGGTCTTGTTTATGTCTACTGTCGCCAGTTCTCCATTTCTTTCCTAATATCAGCCATTCATAAGTCAACAGTCAAGCAGGTAAAAGAGAAAAAGGGAAGGAAATGGCCGTTTCTTGGAAGCCAGCAGGTTCCATGGGGCGGTGCGTCAGAGCCTCCCGCAGCCCCTCGCTGCTGGAGCCTGGCTCTCCGGCTTTGAGCCTGTCACCTTCCAAAGGTGCATCACGCTGCCATCAGGAACAGCCAGCGTCCTGCTTATCTCTTTGATGTGTCACGTCAAACAGGCTAGCGACTGCCGGGGGTCCACCCTGCTAAACCCTGCCAAACCAATTTAAACCAAAATTATACTAACTTCCTTCAGTGCAGCGGTCCTCTTAGTCCTCTCGTTTGAGCAGGGTCTATTGCACAACAACAATCAAGGACACACACGTGGGTATTGTCAGCGTTTGAATTCCTTCTGCTCTCTGTGGCTCAATTCCAGTCTAATTTCCTGGTCAGTTTTCCTCCTACCGAGCAGTGGCCTACAAAATCATTTTCCAAAGGTTGCTTGTAGAATGCCTAATTATTCAACTAGAAATCATTAAATTTAATATATATCAGATAGCACATTTACAATTTCTCTCTCGTAAACATTCACATAAATATACCATGAGCCTGGAAGATGGGACTTCAGCTCCCAGAAACCAGCAACAATGGACAATGACACACATACATGTGATAACTGCAGAACTGTGTCTTATCTGAGGCACTCTGAGCCTGTCCAACATCCAGTTTAGCTAATGGAAAGACCTGCTTCCTGAACTGTTAAACCTCCCAAAGGCTACGGGTATTTTATGTTCAGACCACTCTTCTATACACCCTGGTTTAATCGCCGTTTTCATACTGCTGAAAAACTGTACTCATTCCTGATGAATTTTAAACATTCCGTGTTATTTTAGAGACATAATATTTCATCTTACATGCCTGATCTACTCAGAGTTACATTTTTGCATTCTTTTCATAAAACTGCTATACTTTCTGTTGCCAGGGCAGGGGGTGCACTTTCCCTAGATATTTTCATTGGAAGTTTTGGATGTATTTGTCCTGAAATCAGATACAGCCAAAAACTTCTGACTTAGTTTGCTTTATAGCTTGCACCTCAGAGAGAAAAGCAGTCAAGTTCAAAGAAATTTGGTTCAGTGTTTTGAAAATCATGAATGTTTAGATTTAGCTGGTTCAGATAAATACACATGGAAGGCTGTTTTTTTTATTTATACACAAGACTGGAAGACTTCCTATTTGTTCCTTCATAGTGGCTTGTCCTGAAATAGATTGGAATGCTGAACACGCATAGATAAGCACGCCTTTGGTTTTCCTCTCTCCTATTATATTTCTTCCTAAAAAGCATGGGAATATGATGCCACTGTAGAGTAGTTTTAAGTCACTATGTAGCATGCAAACACCTTAACTGCAATTTAGTGTAGCATTAAGAGCACACCCATCCCATAAGCCCACAATTACAGCAGCTGTTTCAACTTCTTATTTTATCCAGTTAACAGGAAAAGTGAAATATGCAATAGCTCATCATTAGCCTTCACTACAGGAAAAACCTGAAGGTGCTTCTTATTAACATTATAATAACTAGGGATGAGGGAATAATTTGCAATGATTTATCCAAAAATGTAGCCTCTTTTTCTGTTCATGGAATATTTATTGATAGCTTGTGGTTCTTCAAATTTATTGAATATTCAAAAATATTTGACTTCTTTTTGGAATATTTTTACATGCAGAATGATCACGTTTTGCTTTGAACAGTCAATACTTAAAATCCACTACCTGAGCCGTGCTCATTAGCAAGTGGCCAGGTGTGCGTTAGTGAATGATTGCATGTCCAACTTTAAAAATTGAGCTTGAGAGAATCATCACGTATTTTAAATGCGCCTTCCATGAATTCTTGTGCCAGGAAAACTCAAATGCTTTAATGTTCACTGGAAGTAAACACCAAAGAGATGAAAGCTTGGCTAAAGAGAAGTAAAATATGTGAACAAACATTTGCAGACCTTTTTGCAGCGTTTGTCCAGACCTAGCACCATTGACCTACTGACCTAAAAATGAACAACCTTTGGCACTGGGGTTAATTCAGCCACAGCGACCTTATAAGCATGAAACGTTTCCTTAACAGCATTAAATTGCGTTATATGATCTTCACACCAGACTTTCAAAAACACAGTCTTAGTTCCTGCTTTTCCTTGTTCCATTTATTAGATTGCTTTGGCCAGGACGACAACTTTTTAATGCCCTGGTTGTATCAAAGACAGAATAATTGTTCTGTCTCTGAACAGACATTCAGACCCTGTTAGGGCTAACGGATGTCGTGCATGCTAGAGGAGTCAAGTTTACCACTTGCTTCCGCAGAACCAGGGGTCAGTTACTGCAAAAGTAGATTTAGCCAGCAGACATAAATTAGCAACAAAAAATATAGCTCTTGAGATGACAATCTGGCTACATTTTAAGTCATTGTAAACCGTGCCTTGATTTAGAGGAAGCAAGGAGTTCCCTCCTTGTTTTAGGAGTTGCATTTGAAGACTGGAACTCATACAAAAGAGCAAAAGATTTTATTTAGTGAAAACGTTCTTCTAGGATCTAACATCTAGAAAAAAAAAAAAAAGGCAAACTGCACAGTACTAAACCACCACCAGATTCTGCTCTTTGGGCACTTCTTACTACCTGATTAGCCTTGACATTTTTGACTTTCATCTTCCACACCATCCATCTTTTTAAATCAAATAAGCCCAAAAGGACACCCTTGAAAGTGCATCTGTATAGTCTGAAATATGTTAATAATTACAGTAATTAAACCAAAGGGAATTTTTGTTTCAAATTCTCCCCCCTCTAAGTCGAAATTTATAAATCTAGCAAAACAATCTTTAATAATTAGAAGGAAGATCATTTGAAGTACGTATTCTTGATAAGAATCATTGCATATCATCCCAGCCAAAGGCGAACCTTTTTGCCAGTAAGTTCAGTGGGTTCAGTGAACTCTTTCCTCTCAGATCTTTAATCATATTACTCAAGGCATCTCCAAACTTCCTTCACTAATGCAGTGTAATAAACACTACCCTATTTTCAGCCTAATTTTCTAAGGAAAAAAAATAATCTATGTATCACATCATCTACCATCTTGGAAAATTATGAATGGTGGCCAATTCCAGTCAAATTTAGCAGCAATGTAGAATTCTCACAGATATGAAATTGCTTCAGTTTTTATGAAAATAGGTAACGAGGCAAAAGAGAAACTCAAACTGCTGGACTTGCTAGATAGAGTTACAGAAAAACAGACTTCTTCCATTCTATTAATCATGGAATACCTTGACGTCTGGAGAAAGGAATCAGCTAAAAGGGCAGGAATCAGGAGCAGAGATGCTTCTGTGTATTCAGGATATTCTTTCAACATATTTTTCCGATCTACTGGTCACTAGCCTTTAATAACAAGACAATTGCATTGCTGATCAAGTCATCCTGTGAGACCCAACATCTGGAAAAATCGTTCTTCAGACCAACTCCAGACTTTGAACGTTAGTTAGGAGGCCCACAACGAAACACGAATGAATTCAAAAACCTGTCTGAAGCAAACCAGGTACTCAGAGTTGGGTAGAGCGCATCAACCCAAGAAATGAACCATCTCCTGAGTTGGCTGCTATGGCTTCAGCTTGAGAGCTTCTCGGGTTTTCAATAACCAGCTGGGTTATCATACTGCTTGGGGGTTAACGCAACAAGTAAGTTATTTGTGTCATGCTACAGAGAAATCAAGGATGCACAGCTGAGTATCTGTCAGATCAAAAAAGTTCTTTGTGTACATATTTTCCAGAGCATTTTGTACTGAAGGAGACTTCAGAGATTAATGCTTATTTTATTGAGATTATCAAACACGCCAAAATAGAAGACGCTTTGTTTGATGATACAATGAACCATTCCTTAAATTGCATTGTGCATACCTGGACTTCTCTCAATTCTGTTGCTCATGTCTAAGGTTAATGTTTTCAAGACCTCCATTACTTTACTTTGTCTTCCTCTTCTGCCCATACCCTACGCCCTGTCGCATTTGTATGTTTGCTCGCATCTTCCTACCTAGCAGAGGTTACTTTTCTTCTCTGAGAGACCCTGTACCTACATTTATACAAACCAATGTACAAACTACTACAGATTTAAGATTTCAGGCTTACTCTGATCTGCTCAATTCATAGCAGTGGAAATCATGGGAATGCCATATAATTCCTATTCCGTGACACGAGAACTACTATTATTATACCATCTTACACACCTGTTTTCTTTCTTTATATGCCTTTGCTTCCTTTGTCAGTGCTAATATTTCCTTGAATAACAAAGTCTCCCGAGAGATACGTATGGCATCCAAACGTTTACAAAGCCACATTGCCTGAGGGAAGAAGAAAGAAAAATACAGGTCAAAATATTTGGAAAGAAAATGAAGCACTTTTTCAGAAGGCTGCAGAAAGACAGAGAGTGTTTTCCTAGCCTTCCATTTAAGTAAACAGACTAGGTGTGGAACTTTAAGCAGTTTCTATAAAGATGTTCAAGAGTCTACAGCTTTGAATAAGGTATTTTTCATCTACTGTACTGTAACACAGATTTTAAGGAAGAAAGCATTCTTCCTGGCATGCACACTCCACCATCATCTGCAAAGTTCCGACAGTCACCTTTCTCTGTGGTTCAAATACACTGAGACATTTTCAATTAAACAATATCAGTGGACATAACAGACAACTGGCCATGCAAACGGAGCAATCCACAATATGGGAATACCACAAATATGTAGCTATGGTACTCGTCCCAGGTTAATTAGTCCTGCTAAAAAGCTGGGAAAAAAAGGCAGGCAGAGTTCTGTTGCATTACAGCAGCATCGCTACCACTACCTGAGCAAGTTCTGGCAGAGCTCACTTGAACATTTCCCTTT